AGAGAGAGAGCACAAGTAGGCAGAGGGAGAGGGAGAAGCAGGCTTTCTGCTGAGCAGGGAGCCTGATGCAGGGCTCGATCCCAGGACCTTGGGACCATGACCTGAGCTGAAGGCAGATGCTTAACGACTGAGCCACCCAGGTGCCCCCATGACTGAGAATTCTTAAAGCAAGCTTAGAGAGCATTATAGATTGTAAATAGATAAGCTGGCCACTCATAAAAAATGTGAGAGAATAGTAACACAATGCCTGTGCCTCTCAAAGTATTAGAATGGAACTCCACACCAGGAAGTGAAACTAAAAATAGGTATCTTATCTAAAAAAGTATCCTAACTCCTAGATGACATCAGTGCAGAAATTCATTTGAAACATTTCTGAGGTCTGTTTGAAATTGCCTGTTGCTGATTGTGATGATCACAATCTCTGGGTTCAGTAATGAGATTCTCCAGTCTTTATCACACTAACAGTCTTTGGTTTTAGTTTGAGTTAAAATTAGGCAATGGCAGTTAAGTAGAGAAAGATACTTGCATGCAGACTCTACGTTCTCTTCCATCAGATTTTTGGTTCTTCCTTTAACAGCAGGACTTTCAGCAGATTAGAACAATCATCAAATTGATTTTGTACAAGCTGACTAGTTCTTTTTTCCAATGCCCAGTCATTTTAGTTACAGATGGTAATGTAATTCTCCAGAATGAACTTAATACAGTAACTATTTTCCTAATGATTGGGGAATTGGAATTGCGAAAAGAAAAAGTTGTGATTTTCACTATGGAAAAGATTAGGGATGAGAAAAGACACTCAAAGTCAGGTAATCCAAGACCTGAAGGCAGAGCTTAATCTTGTAGCTGAGTCAGTGTATTGAGCTTATATTTGACATCTCAATTGAAATATGGCATCTCTTTTTGCCAACTACCAACTAGCATTGTGCTGAGTCATTACTTTCTTCCGGAGAACACTGGTTGTGGATTCAATAATATCATTTCCTCTGGAACCACCCCTGAGACATAACCAAAAGTCTCCTATCCAAGTCAGAAGCTAGCCTAGTCCATACTAATTTGAACTTATATGTGATACTGGCCCCAGGAAACAAAGAAAAGAATTATCAAAAGATGTTTGGATAGTTATTGATTGACACTAAGCATTTTTCTCCAAGAATTTGTACTTACTTTATAGATACTACAATTTTTACAGCTCTAAGAAAGAGATGGGCATGATTTTGACACTCCGGTTCTGAAAATAACTTACAGGTCATCTGAAGATTTATGATATTTCCAAAATTAACTTATAAAAACCAAGAAAATGGTTGATTTGTGCCTTATTTCCTGTGAAGAGTATGCAAGTATTTCATTCATTATAGTCAAGACAGAGTTGAGGCTAATGGAAATAAAAGCAGATTAAAACAGAGCTGAATGATAGAAGAAATAACTCAGTTAAAACAGGAACTTCAGATCAATAACAGATATAATAGATTAGATGATAACTGTACCACTTTAGTAAGTGGAAACAGCCTTTTTCACTATTAAGGTATTGGTATTTGGTATTATTCTCTGTGTAAGACAAGGAAGACATTCTCTGTGTAAGTCAAGAGAGTGAAGACATTGGGGGCAGCAAGAATAGGTTCTAATTCAAATTTAACTTTTACTATCTATGAGATACTGGGAAATTATTTAACCTCTCAGACTCTCACTTTAGTCATATATAAATATAAATAATACCTATTTTATAGGGTTGTTGCAAAAATTAAATGAGGATTCACATCTAGAAGAATATGTAACATATGGTTCATACTCAACGAATCCTTATAACATTATCATCTCTCTGTATGTTTTTTTTTTATAATGTTGAGCTTTTTTTTTTTTAATATTTTATTTTAAGTAATCTCTACACCTGGTGTGGGGCTTGAACTCGCAACCCAAGAGAGTGGAGGGTATTGGTGAAATTTCTTCCTTAAGTATTTGGTAGAATCTATCTGAGCCTGGTGCTTTCTGTTTTGGAAGGTTAAGTATTGATTCAGTTTCTTTATAGGCCTATTCAGATTGTCTGTTTCTACTTGTGTGAGTTTTGGTGGATTATGCCTTTCAAAGAATTGGTCCATTTCATCTAGATTATTAAATTGTGGGCTTAGAGTTGTTCATAGTATTCCTTTATTATTCTTTTGATGTCCACAGAATCTGGAGGGAACGTCCCTCATTTATTTATGATATTTGTAATTTGTGCTCTTTTTTTTTCTTATTTAGCCTAGCTAGAGGCTTATTGATTTTGTTGCTGTTTTCAAAGAACCAATTTTTAGTGTGAATGATTTTCTCTATTGATATTCCATTTTCAATTTATTCATTCCTGCTCTATTTTTTACTATTTTTCTTCTGCTTACGTTGGATTTAACTTGCTTTTCTTTCTCTAGTAGACACTTAGATGATTGATTTTAGATCTTTCTTCTTTTCATATATGCATATCATGAAATAATATATGAAATATACGTGTGTATGAAATAATATATATATCAATATACATATTATTTAATTTCCTTCTAAGCAGTACTTTCACTGCATCCACCTTAATTTTGCTAAATTGTAGTTTCATTTTCATTCAGTTCCAGATATTTAAAAATTTCTCCTGAGACTTCTTCATTGACATATGTGTTATTTAAAAGTGTGTTATTTAATCTCCAAGTACTTCGTGATTTTCCAGCTATCATTCTATTTTGGTTTCCGGTTTAATTCCATTGTGGTCTGAGAGTACACATTGTATGATTGTCCCACATGATCTTTTTTTTTTTTAAGATTTTATTTATTTATTTATTTGACAGAGAGAGAGCCAGTGAGAGAGGGAACACAAGCAGGGGGAGTGGGAGAGGGAGAAGCAGGCTGCAGAGCAGGGAGCCTGATGCAGGGCTCGATCCCAGGACCCTGGGATCATGACCTGAGCCGAAGGCAGATGCTTAACCGACTGAGCCACCTAGGCATCCCAGATCTGTTTATTTCTTATAGGGGGGTGTTGAAGTTTCCAACTATGATAGTGGATTCTTTTTTTTTTTTTGGTGGGGGCAGTGTGTGTGATTTTTGGTTATATAAAGCTGAGTAAGGGACAGGTGGGGCTAGGTAGGGAGAGATAGATAGGGGGCTAGGTGCTCAGGCTCACAGAAATCCCAAAAATGTGGAGGTGTGAGGAAACCAGAGATAAGGGAACAAACCAGACCACCCTGCCCTAGGCATGTGGGGTGGGTGTCTTTTTTATGATAATCACCTGTGACCAACAAAGAATAACCAGACCCTAAAAAGCCATTGAAAGTGTTATGACTAGTCCTAGCTCAATGGTGATATCATTAGAGATGTTAAAAGGATTTAAGTTCCCTGGTTAGCTTCTATAAAAGACCAACCCTAAAGGCCCTCAGTGGCAACCCTTGTAGGGACCCCTCTCACTCTTGAAGCTTTTTCTGTATCTTCACTTAATAAACTTGTATCGCTTTACTCACTCTCCTTTGTCCACAAGAATTCATTCTTCCACTCAGTGAGACAAGAACCTAGCTCTCCTGCTTCAAAGCAACACACTTTTTTGTAAGCATTCATTTCATTTATAATAATTTTACTTATATGGAGGAAAACTTTGGCTACTCAGAGCACCCCTAGACCCAGAAGTTATTTCTCTTCAATAATAAACTTGAATAAGAAATATCCTGAAACATTTTACATGCTTCTCTGCCTTTTTAAACAAAGTATGCTCATTATTAATGACTTCACCACTTCTTGATGCTGTGTTAAATCTGAACACAAATTATTCTGTTGATTGATACCTTCAGAAACTGTTGAATGCTGTGTAACTGTTGATCCTATATCTCACTACTGCTGGTCCTTATGAATCTATGTTTTTATAACTTTTTTCCAGCCACCTTGATTTTAGACTGTCATTACTCATTTATCAGTATTGTCAGTATTTTAGCTTTTTAAAGTCAATTATGGGCTTCTTAATCAGTGAAACAAGTCTTTTAAAGTTAGGAAAGATAGGAGAGGCTTATAAGTGTGGGCCTCTTCTAAGATTAAACAGGCTTGAGCTTTAGATAAGGACTTTGCAATTTTCCGTTGCTCAGAGAACTTTGTAAGTTCCTGCTTCCTTATTCTGCTTTGGTTGATAGAGTTGTTTGGTAACTACTTTCTAGTTAGGTGAAGTATTTAATAAGGTCTTCTAGAAACTTTTAACATTGTTGCATATGGTTTATAACAAATGCATTAAAATTAATATAAGTAGTTCACTGGTTATGGCCTTAGGTCCAAAGGATTTTGAATACTGCTCTGGAAATGTCTTGCCAAAAAAAACTTTCACTGAACAGTAACAATAAAAACAAACAAATCTGAATAATGCAAACATCTGGCTCTGACTTTGCCTTTCTAAGCCCAGGCTTCCTTGTCATTCTATACAAAGCCTGACTGTCTTCCTAGAAGGCCTGCGGTCCTCATTTACATTTTCCCTCCAGCTTGGTAAACCTGACAGCCAAAAGCTTCCAGTAGTCCAGTTGTAGTGACATTTTAAAGAATGATCTAAACTTCTCAATAATTCTGTGGTGGGAGAGAGGAGAGACTCGAATAAGAAACAGCCCTGGGATCAAAGGATGTTTCTGGTATGAATGTTACTTCCCTTCAACCTGAATGTTTTTAACTAGTCTCAAGGAAACAATGAGAACAGTTTGCTTGGATTCTATGTTGGACGCTTGCTTTTAATTTACTGCTATTTATTTCCAGGTGGAGCACCAGTATTCTCACAAATTCACAGTAGTGGTGTTACGTGCCACCAAAGTGACCAAGGGGGCCTTCGGTGACATGCGTAAGTGTCCTTATTTGCTTTTCTGTTGAAAATGAATAATTGCGGTTCGCTCTTTAGTTGCTGTAGTTCTCTGATAAGCGGGGGGCTGTCCCTCTTTCAAATGTGGTTATCTTTGTCCAGATCTTTAAATGATGACATTTTGAAAAGTTCTCTGTCTGATCTCTGTCAGAATAGTGTTTTATCTTGACTTTAGATTAATTGAGAGTACTTGGAGTCAGACAAAATGATGTCTTAGGACATACAGATTTTTGGAATTAAAATAAATTCTATTTAATTCTATTTTGGAAAGAGTGCTGAGTCAAGAAAAAGACTTCATGCAAGCTGCCTGAGGCATGGTGCCTACAGGATTTTAAAAAAATGCAGTTTCTCTAGTTCTTATGTCTTTGAGTGTTTTTATTATGTGTGGCAATAGCTATAGAAACTGGTGGTAATGCAGCTGGAAACGACCTGAACCACACAGCCTGAGGATAATGGTCAATTAGCTTGCCGGCAGGATCCCTCTCCATGCTTTGTTTCCTGGTTAATCTCCCCACTCAAATGGCTGGGGGTCACGGAGGTGGGAATCCAAAGCAAGATAAGGATTATGATGGACGAATTTGGCAAAGTTTTAGATTATTGCTAAAATATGGGAATAGGCAATTGACCCCTCAGAAGAGGTTTTGGAGAAAGAACGGAGGTTGCAGTTAATGGGTCTGGGAAACAGGGAAGTCTGCCCTGCCGGTACTCAGAGAAGAGAATCTTGGCGGTGAGAGTGCGAAGTCCCAGGCTGAGCAAACAGCGTGGTCAAAAGCGAGAGAGCAGAATGCTTGTGAGGACCTAGAACAGGTCCAGTGTTGTTAGAGAACAGAGAGCAAAGGGGAAGGGGGACAAGCACTAATAGGACAAAGTCCAAGATTGCAATTTCATCAGAAATGCGATGGGGAAAATTTTGATGGCATTTGACTCACGAGTCACACGATTGGATCTTCATTTTAAAAAAATGTTTTTTCTGGCCATATTATGTTAAATAGATTGGAAGCAAATGCGGACTATACTTTTTATTTTTAAGAATACAAATAATAGGGGAGCCTAGGTGGCTCAGTTGGTTAAGCGACTGCCTTCAGTTCAGTCATGATCCCAGGGTTCTGGGATTGAGCCCCGCATTGGGCTCTCTGCCCATTGGGGAGCCTGCTTCTCCCTTTCCCTCAGCTGCTCCCCTTGCTTGTGCTCTCTCACTCTCTCTCTGTCAAATAAATAAATAAAATCTTAAAAAAAAAAGAATACAAATAATAATACAAGAATAAAAATGAGTTTGTTGAAATGGGCCAATGGAGAAAAGTTAAATACTAAGAAAAAAAAATGCAAGCTCGGTGCTCAAGCCTTCAGTGAATGAAAAAGCGTGTCTGGGGAGTGGGTAGAAGTTAGGAGTAAAATGGGAAACAGGACGTAGAATCTAAGGGTAAGAGTTTTGGATGAGCAGAGATTTTCATGAGAGGTGAGGGAACAAGGACAATTTCTTCAACTTTCATCTGGACCAAGGGTTTATATTCTAAATTTTATCTCCTACTTCTGTCCAACCCATTCAATCACTCTCTTGTCAGTGTTCTGAAGTGATTCTTATTTTACATTTTCTAATCCTTTGCATTTTCATCATTTAAATGATAGTTCACTGGAAGAAAGAGAAGTCACATCAGAAGCCATATTTAAAAACCGGCATATCCCCCATGGCCTGGGGAAAAGGCACAGGCTTTACAACTCAAGAGCTCCACTGTTAGAAAAGCTGTTCTTAATTTGCCGGAAGCCTGTGTCGGGAACTCGCCAGGCATGCAAGTTACTGACCTAATTTGACTTTTAAAAAAATATAGTTTTGTCATATACAAAGCAGCAGCAACTCCTTCCCGTAGTGCAGGGCTTTGTCGAGCAGAGACAGTGGGTATTACTGTGTTTAAGATGAGCCCCACGGGGTGCCTGGGTGGCTCAGTCGGTTAAGCGTCTGCCTTCGGCTCAGGTCATGATCCCGGGGTCCTGGGATCGAGTCCCGCATCGGGCTCCCTGCTCCGCGGGGAGCCTGCTTCTCCCTCTGCCTCTCTCTCTCTGTCTCTAATAAATAAATAAATTAAAAATCTTTAAAAAAAAAAAAAAAGATGAGCCCCACGGCAGTCCAAACTCTGCTCTGTGAGTTGCCTTCAGCTGGTATGTATCTGATTTCCTAGCTGCTTCCCCCATAGGCACAGGCACTTGGTCTGTGGTTATTCGAAGGAAGGCGGGGACTGACTTCTCATCGTTCTCATTGTTTCCTTGAGACGAGTTGTGGTGACATTGTAAAGCATGTCACCATGGTGTAGCAAGTGTCATTTTAAACTTAGAGGAGTGACATTGATAATAATACAAATTAACATGGGATATTAACTCGACTCATGAAATAGGGAACAGGTGCATTTTGAATCCCCCACTGTGTACCTAGCACAGGTTAGACCCATGGTGTCTAGAAGTTTCCTTTTGAAAAGGAAGGACCCATGGAAGGAATAGCCACTGGCAATTAGTCTCAGTAGGAGAAAGGGCAGTATTATGACATTCTGCTAAGATTTTTATTCAGCATTTGTAATTTGATTTTAGTTCACTTGAGTTATTACATAATTTTTTTGAAGTGAGGGAGGGAATTGTTGTCAACCTTTTATATCACTTTATTGAATTTATCGAAAGTCAGGAGGAGATAAGAAGGAAGAACAAGAGAAAGTCTTAGAGAAATGAATTCATTGAGAAGGTTAGCATGAAAAAGTAAAGGGATAATATACAGTGCCAAGCACTTTATTTTTGAGAAGTTGTAGGAGATTATTACAGTGAGAAAAGGGATTGGCATTAGCTGTCACTTTTCTAAGAGGAGTTTTGATCATATTGTTTGGTGAGCTTGATCAATACAAATTACCAAGTAAACTGAATTTGGGATCTCTGTATATAGAACTTCTTTCAATATGGACAAGGATAAAGCTATAAGAAATGTCCTAAGGTCCGTGAAGACCATGATAACAGAAACCTACACTCTTTTCTGTTGTTGATAGTGTCTGCATTTATTTAGAAAGGCAAATTTCCATAAAGTTTTACATGTTGGTAAAGAAGAATGACAGAGGGCGCCTGGGTGGCTCAGTTGGTTAAGCGACTGCCTTCGGCTCAGGTCGTGATCCTGGAGACCTGGGATCGAGTCCCACATCGGGCTCCCTGCTCAGCAGGGAGTCTGCCTCTCTCTCTGACCCTCCCCCTTCTCATGCTCTCTATCTCATTCTCTCTCTCAAATAAATAAATAAAATCTTTTAAAAAAAAAAGAAGAATGACAGATTACTATTGGGTTTTTTTTGTTTTGTTTTGTCTGTGTATGTGGGGGCTTTCTCAAGGGTGTCACACAAATCAAATGGTTGATTCCTGGTAAAATACCTATATCCACCTTTTTCTTTTTTGAGATAATACTAAGATTATATCAATTTTTTATTTTGTCCCTTGATAAATCATCCTGTTCTAATTATCTCCACTGAAAAATACTGTATTAAATTGCTAAAACATCATAATAAAATTAGCAGCACCCCATGAACTGTCTTTTGAGGGGTCAGAGCTGACATTTTAATCGTAACACTTCACTCATTTCTTTGTTTTTACCTGAGGGCCCTGGGCCAGCCAAGAACAGGACAACCCCTTTCCAGACCTGGTTGCTAATTTCAGTGTGCTCAACTATATCATTTATACCAGTATCCCAGTGCCAACCCTTCCTTGCCTTCTTTTTTTTCTTTTTTTTTTTTTAAAGATTTTATTTATCTGACAGAGAGAGACACAGCGAGAGAGGGAACACAAGCAGGGGGAGTGGGAGAGGGAGAAGCAAGCTCTCCACTAGCAGAGAGCCCGACGCAGGGCTCGATCCCAGATCCCCGGGATCATGACCTGAGCAGAAGGCAGATGCTTAACGACTGAGCCACCCAGGCGCCCCCTTCCTTGCCTTCTTATGCTCATGTCCTATGAAGAGGTAGTTTGAAGTTCATATTTGCACCTGACTCACCATAGTCTTATTTTTAAGACAAATACTTTGCATTAATTTGGCAGTATTAACATAACTCTCACTTTTAAAGGTATAGGAAGTTGTAGTTAGATCTAACACATAGCCAGGGGCATATTAACATTGCACCAGGTGTAAGTGTTGGATGGATGGATATTAAACTTGGTATTCTTTATTGTTCCTTTCCTCTTCTTTTTTTTTTTTTTTTAAGATTTTATTTATTTATTTGGCAGAGAGAGACACAGTGAGAGAGGGAACACAAGCAGGGGGAGTGGGAGAAGGAGAAGCAGGCTTCCCGTGGAGCAGGGAGCCCGATGCGGGACTCGATCCCAGGACCCTGGGACCATGACCTGAGCCGAAGGCAGACGCTTAACGACTGAGCCACCCAGGCACCCTGTTCCTTTCCTCTTCTAACAGAAGTTACCTATTTGCAGAATGACTACAGTGACCATAAAAGTTCAGTTGGTGATAGTTTCCTTTGCACATATGTGAAATGAAAAACACACATCCCTGGCCACAAACCTGATTTTAAAACAGAATGAAATAGCTGGCAAAAAAAATGTTTTAGCTAACTCACTGAGTTTCTGCTCCTTTTAAAAAGTGTTGGGGAAGGGGAGGGTATGTGCTATGGTGAGCGCTGTGAATTGTGTAAGACTGTTGAATCACAGACCTGTACCTCTGGAACAAATAATACATTATATGTTAAAAAAAATATATATATATAGTAGGAAGGGAAAAATGAAGGGGGGGAATCGGAGGGGGAGACAAACCATGAGAGACTATGGACTCTGAAAAACAAACTGAGGGTTCTAGAGGGGAGGGTGGTGGGGGGATGGGTTAGCCTGGTGATGGGTATTAAAGAGGGCACGTTACTGAATGGAGCACTGGGTGTTATGCGCAAACAATGAATCATGGAACACTACATCAAAAACTAATGATGTAATGTATGGTGACTAACATAGCATAATAAAATAAAATTTGA